CCTTGAAGATAGGAACTATGAGTCTCACTTTCTTTCTTTCTTTTTTTTTGAGACAGAGTCTCCCTCTGTTGCCCAGTTGCCCATGCTAGAGTGCAGTGGTGTCAGCCTAGCTCACAGCAACCTCAAACTCCTGGGCTCAAGCAATCCTCCTGCCTCAGCCTCCTGGCACTACAGGTGTGCACCACCATGCCTGGCTGTTTTTTTCTATTTTTAGTAGAGACAGGGTATTGCTCTTGCTTAGGCTGGTCTTGAACTCCTGACCTCAAGCGATCCTCCCACCTCAGCCTTCCAGAGTGCTAGGATTATAGGCATGAGCTACCATGCCTGGCCTCATTTTCTTTTTTATCTGGCCCAGAGCTGCAGAGTGCTGTTCACTGGGTAAATACATGGATGTTGTCTGTCAGGAAATGGCCAGAGGGCCTCAAATCAAGACACAGGTTATATTCTTAGCCTTTTGCTAAGACAAAAGGCTGTATTCCTTTTTCTTCTTATAGACAGAAGGCTATATTCTTAGCCTTTTGGTCTTTACATAACTTCTGGTTGGTAAGACAGTTCCCATTAATAAGTGGTTTATCCCCAGCCACCCCTTGTCAGGAATGATTACTCTATGATTTGCTTCCTTAGCCTTTGTGAGAAGTGCCTAAATGATTCTCCATGTTCCTCAGACAGTGCATCCAGATTCCCCCTTTGTTCCCTTTTCAGCCCCCACCCCCACCCCCAATGCTATCTATCACTGCCCAATTCTCTCCTTTTGGATTTACTGCAGTCAGGTCAGTTCATTAAATTTTCCTACAACTTCCTGACTCTAGGCAAATCACACAGCCTTTACTGTGGGTAAAGTGCCAGGAGATCACTAAAAAGATACGGAATGAAGGATATTAATGTTCAAGGCAGCAGGAGAGGCTGGGTGTGGTGGCTCATGCCTGTAATCCTAGCACTCTGGGAGGCCGAGGTGGGAGGATCAGTTGAGTTTAGGAGTTTGAGACCAGCCTGAGCAAGAGTGAGACCCCATCTCTACTAAAAATATGAAAAATTAGCCGGTAGTAGTGGCCCAGCCCTGTCATCCCAGCTACTCTGCAGGCTGAGGCAGGAGGATTGCTTGAACCCAGGAGTTTGAGGTTGCTGTAAGCTAGGCTGATGCCAGGGCACTCTAGCCCAGGAAACAGAGTGAGACTGTCTCAAAAAAAGAAAAAAAAAAAAAAGCAGCAGGACACAGCCTTGTGGCCTTGGGAGAGCTACTTAAAAGTTCTACGCTTTCATTTCCTCAACTTCTTAAGGTTATTTCCAACATTAAATGGGGTGATCCATGTAAAGGGATTAGTATGGGGTTAGTAGAGGGTCTGGGAACACATTAAAGTAGTGCTGGAGAACATTTTTTTTTTTTTTTTTTTTTGAGACAGAGTCTCATTTTGTTGCCCAGGCTAGAGTGAGTGTTGTGCCTGTCAGCCTAGCTCACAGCAACCTCAAACTCCTGGGCTCAAGCAATCCTTCTGCCTCAGCCTCCCAAGTAGCTGGGACTACACGCATGCACCACCATGCCTGGCTAATTTTTTCTATATATATTAGTTGACCAATTAATTTATTTCTATTTATAGTAGAGATGGGTCTTGCTCTTGCTCAGGATGGTTTCAAACTCCTGACCTCGAGCAATCCTCCCGCCTCTGCCTCCCAGAGTGCTAGGATTACAGGCGTGAGCCACCGGGCCCCGCCCATTTTCTTCTTTTTAATGAATAAGAGAAATTGCAATTTTAGCCATTTTGGTTTGTTTGGTTTTTGGTAGAGGGAAGAGTGCTATAACCTTTCAGATTCACCAGGGAAGTTATTTTTAAATATAATACAATATTTATTTAAGTTGGATTTTTGTCTTTTAAATACTGAGAGGCACAAAGAAAACAAAAAATAAGGTGTAATCTCTGTCTTGATAGACCCGCAGATATTTAAAAATAAAGGTGACATAGTCTAAGGTTAAAAAATTTGCAGTACAAATATGTACAAAGTAGACACCCTTCCTCTAAAAAAGAAAACCCAAAGTAACTCTACTTTAACAGTTTTTGTTACTTTTTTCCTAATTAAAAAAAAAAAACAAGAATGGGCGTGAGGAGGGAACAGTTTTCGAAAGAAACCTCTTTGTTCCCAGTGCAGATTGGCTGGGCTAGGGCAGTTAGAAAAGCTACCCAGGTGAGCGGTAAAGCGCCCCTGACGTTCATGCTCTCGGGAGTAACCAGCAGATGATCAGTTCCACGCATGCATTAGCTTCTAAATTCAGTATCTTGGTTGAAAATTAAAAAACAGAAACCCTCACCCACAGACGCTGCGTGTCATATTTACACCGGAAAAGTAATTTGACGCACACGGGCACACGTTTTGTCTTAAACTCTTCCGGAAGTGTGTTTTTAGAGCCGAAAGACAGTGACTTCTGACTGGCTGTCGGTCTGTCATAGGCTAATTAGGAACTTGGAGTTTCTTAAAAAAAGAAAACTTTCAGAGTCTTCAGAATGCTTATTTAACAGTTGCACACAAAAACAATACTTCGAAAACGCATTTGTGATCACTCTAAAAAGATAGTAATGCGGGGGGAGGGCGGGAATTTCGCCGTCACTGTAAAGTGCGCGGCCGCCATAGACGCGGCAGAGGCGTGGAGGGCGAGGCTAAGACTATACTTTCAGGGATCATTTCTATAGTCCGTTACTAGAGAAGTTTCTCTGAACGTGTAGAGTACCGAAAACCACGAGGAGGAGGCGCAGTGTTCTCTCCTGAGCGTGAAGCCGGCTCTTGGTGTTGCTTCGCTGCAACTGCCACTTGCCATTGATGATCGTTCTTCTCTCTCTTTATGGGGGAGTGAGAGGGAGAGGACGCAGTCTGAGTGGTTTTCTTTAAAGTTTGTGTGCAACAGAAGATACTGAGTATGTGTGATTTTTTTTTTCTTTTTTGAGTATGTGTGATTTTATGTAAATTTTTTGTTTTTGTGCTGTGCGACTCGTGTGTTACATGTGTTGAATTTTTACTTTTTGAGACGTCTCTCGTTTTGTTACCCAGGTTACAGTGAGTGCCGTGGTGTCAGCCTAGCTCACAGCAACCTCAAATTCCTGGATTCAAGCGATCCTGCTGCTTCAGCCTACAGAGTAGCTGAGACTACAGGCATGCGCGCCACCATGCCCAGCTAATTTTTTCATTATTTTTTTAATTGGCCAGTTAATTTTTCTATTTTTTTAGTTGAGATGGGGTCTGGGGGGAGGTTCTCACTCTTGCTCAGGCTGGTTTTTAACTCCTGACCTTGGGTGATTGGCCCTCCTTGGCCGCCTCCCAGAGTGCTAGGTAGATGTGGTGATTTTTATTGTAATGTATGTTTTAAGGAAGTACAGTTTTCATGATAGTAAGTTTTCTCATTTTGTGGTAGAGTTTAAAGAATGCAAGAAGGCAGTATGATAACGAGTGTTGAAAGAGAAAGCTGAGTTTTTTTCCTGCTAAGTCACTAGCCAGCCACCTGTCAATTACTCCTCTGTGTCATTCCAGACCAAGGAAATACAGTGTATAAAACCTTAGGGCTTATGGCAGAAAAGGAATAAACATTGGGTTTGGCCAAAGCATGGTGGACAGAGAGATTTGGAGACAATTTATCCCGGTTACCTTCCATGGAAGAGAGCGAATGAGCTGTGCAGTTGAAGGTCACTTCACTGCTATGTGGAGATTAAATTTTGGAGGAGGAATGAGGTGGCAAGATTTAGGTATCTGCTGCATTCTTCTTCATAGGAGGTGATTGTAGTGATGGAGAAAAAGAAATATTGACCAGACTGGAAAGGTATTTTAAATCGTGAAATTGACCAGACTTAGGGATTGATTCAATGTAGGCAGAAGGAAGAGGGGGCTGTCAAGGATAATTGTTAGGTTTTATGACCTTTAGAAATGGTTGGACAGTTGCTCCATTTATTCAGATGATAGAAAATGGAGGAGGAACTGAATTAGGTAGAGCACTGGGGAGGGAAGTAATGGTAGAGTTAAGTTTAGGGTACATTTAGGAGAGATTTCTCACCTTTAATAGGCAATGGAGGCCGGGCGTGGTGGCTCACGCTTGTAATCCTAGCACTTTGGGAGGCCGAGGCCGGCGGATTGCTCAAGGTCAGGAGTTCGAAACCAGCCTGAGCGAGACCCCGTCTCTACCAAAAATAGAAATAAATTAATTGACCAACCAAAAATATATATACAAAAAATTAGCCGGGCATAATGGCGCATGCCTGTAGTCCCAGCTACTCGGGAGGCTGAGGCAGTAGGATCGCTGAGCCCCGGAGATTGAGGTTGCTGTGAGCCAGGCTGACGCCACGGCACTCACTCTAGCCTGGGCAACAAAGTGAGACTCTGTCTCAAAAAAAAAAAAAAAAATAGGCAATGGAAAAGGAAGAGATGAACCTTCCAAAGCAGACTAGAAGGAATAACCACAGGTAGGAGGGAAACCAAATGTATGGGCATAATAGAAGCCCAGGAAGGGAAAATGGGGTATGTAGAAAGCAAACAGAGATTAAGATACAGATAGGAAAGTATCCATGGCATGGAGCCACAATGGTGACCTTCTTTGTCCTGTGGTGGCAGCAGAAACTGGTTTGAGGTCAGTTGATCACTGAACGGATATTCAGGGATTGGCCACTGGATCAAAAGCTTACCAAAGGTAGCTATGAAGGAGAGTATAGAGAGGTATGTTTAGCTGAGGGAACTGGGGGTGGGTGGGATGTGAATCCAGCCAGGATTTAATTAAAGATGAGAGAGCAAGTGTCAATACATATGGCAGGAGAAACTGAGATTTGGGAGAGTGCAGCATCCAGGCCTTTGAGTCAGCCAAAGATGATGGGGAGAGCAGACGTATGTGGACTGGTCCATGTAGTGAGACCACAGTGAGGGTTTTTTTCAACTGATGGCTTCTAGTTCTATGCCAAGTATAAGGCAAGATCATTACTAAGGGTAAGAAGAAATGAAAGAAGTATCACACAGAGCAGGTGAGGGAAACATACCTCCTGAGAGTTGAATGTGCCTCTTCTATGCTTCTGAAACTTTTGGATTGCTTCCTGGTCTTGGGAACACCTCACCTGATCACAGTTAATTTCTTATTCTTCTACTCCAGCCATATACCATGTAGTTCCTCCTTTATTTTCTTGTTCTGGATCTACAGTGGCCCTAAAGCAATCTTTGGTCCTGTTTGAAGGATGAGAGCTGTGAGGGAAGCAGTGTATTTTCTGGAGTTGATTCCCTGGTCTGTTATTTACTAGGTGTGGATTTGTGGGTAATTGCTTAACTTCAGTTTGTCCCATTGTGAAGTAGGTGTAGTAATAGTGCCATCAACACATGGAGTTATTTTAAGGGTTAAACTAGATAAAATAAGTGTAGTAGTTGAATACCTCCTTCTCCCATTCGGAAAAAGCCCCTCCCTTAGATTAGAAATCCCTGTCACTTCCCCAGTCTTCCCTGTATCAGTACTATCCACCCAGTTGTTCTGGGCACAAACTAACATTTCACTTTTAAAACCTCTTTCCTTGATCCCCCTCCCCCACAAGTCCATCATTGAGTCCTATCAACTTGACTTCTAGAACAGACCAAGTTACTTCATCTTTCTTGCTACACCCTAATGTAAGCCACCATAGTTTTTACCACAGAGACCTTGCAGTGGCTTCAGAACTGGTCTCCAAGCTTCAAAACTCTCAATAGTTTCCATTCACACTTCAAATCCAGACTTTTCTGGCCTTGCCTTGGCTGCCATAGAAAACCCTTGGGTATCTGGTCCCTGTCTGCCCTTCTCTTTCCCTCTCAAATCCTCACTCAGTCACTCAACACAATACTGACACCAGATGTGTGGGGGTTGTTTTCTCACACATCTGGCAATTCTCCAGCGGATACCAGCTGGATATCCTCCAATCCAATTCAGTTCTGACACTGTGTACTAGATGGAGATAGCATCAGATCCCACAGGTTTAGGTCACAGTCACACAAGACTGCTGCCAACTTCAGATGCCAGTCGAATGTATTATAGTAGGTTGTCATGTAATTACCCTCTGACTGCTGGCTATAAATCAGGTGTTCCCACAGCTCCCTCCTCAGATTTGATTAATTTGCCAGAGTGGCTCAGAGAACTCAGGGAAACGCTTTTTTTTTTTTTTTTTTTTTTTTTTTTTTTTTTTTTTTGTGACAGGGCCTATTATTTTTTTTTATTTTTGATCTATAATATTGAGAAGCGGACTTGGAAATAAAAAAAAAGTCTCGCTTTGTATTAAAAACAAACATGTCTAATAGAAGTGAAAAAAAGGACAGTCATCTAGTCGGAAACTCAATAGCTCTTTATCTCATGTTCTCCTAATCATGTCCAACACAAACAAAAAATAACCATGGATAACAAAAGAACAAAACAAAGCACACTTCTCAAAGAACACATACAAAGAACCATACCACAAAAGAAATAGGACTGCATCGGAAAGGACAAAAAAGAAACTCACAAAGGCAATCGTCGCGAACTTTGGGATCTTAAAAAAGGGATGCCCAGAGAACAATAAATATAAATAGTGTGTGCGAAAAAAATTTTTGCATTTATTTTATTTTTATATAATAAAAAAAGTGGCGTCTTGCGCCATTTTTTTATATTTTCTATATCTTTATACAAATATTATAGAAGAAATAAAGTAATGAGAGAAAGTCGGTTGCTTTTAGTTTTTTTACTAGAATGTCATTATCTGAAAAAAAAAAAAAAAGCTTTTAGTGCTTTAATTTATTGTTGTGTGTTGAAAAAAATATTTATTTTTTAAAGTTTTTTTTCCATAAAAATTCTAAAAAAAAAAAAAACAAAATTTGGCGTTCTTTCGAGACTCAATTGTCTATATATCTCAAGGCTAGACAGATTAAATCAAGAAAACTAGTCTAAAAAAAAAAAAACTAAAAACCGTGAGCTGAAAAATATATCCCCCAACATTGAGGCTTTATCCCAGAGAGCATAAAGTGCTTGTTTTTAAATAACAGAGCGTGATATGCCACCAGGTGTTGCGCTATATATTTAGAAAAACACTTTCCAAAGAAGGCAAACGCTTATAATTTTAATTGGAATATGGTCTAAGCTCTGAAGATAGAAAATCCCTTTAAAGGAATTTCGCGAGATTCTATTGAAGGAAGAGAAATGTAAATTCAATCAAGAGAATATAATAAACACCATGAGCACTGGGATATGAAACATCTATTTGCGTGGCCCCTTTTTCCTATTAAACCTATTCAGGAATAGAACGGAACACTATTTTGGGCAAAAAATGTCTTGGAAAAAAAAAAAAAATTGATCTCATCTGTTGGAGCAGCCAAAAAAATTGGTATGCAGACAAGACATTTATTTGATGATATGGTCCTACGGGTTCGTATTGCCAAGTTCTAAACAACTGTGGAGAAAAAGAAAATCGTTGTGCTAGAAAATAACGGCATCCTAAAAAAACGATGGTAGAAGGGCCAAAAGGGAAAATTTAACTATTTTTAAAAAACAGTTCCTTGCTGATGGGCCACCCATTTGAAACAAAAAAAAAGTTCCCCCCCCAAACCAGTCCAGTTTTAGCGATTTTAAAAATGCGCTAGAAAATTGTTCCAAATAAACACCGAAAGACATGGGTTCAAAGAGAATTTGAGATTGTCCTCGCTGAGTCTTCTGTGCGCTCCAAATAAAACCAAAAAAAAGAGCGCGAAAAATTGATACATAGGTGAGAGCCTTCCAGTTTATCGAGAATGCAACCACACAAAAGAGGGCCGGACATGACTCTCGATATTTGTGTCCGATATGGGGTGACGTGCGCGTATCGCCCTAAATGCATACATATTCACATGTGCGACAATACAAGTTCTTCTATCTCTTACTTCTCTCATTGTAAAATTTATAAACCTTATTAGGAAAATTTTTTTTAAAAAATATAAGTACGGCGCAAAACTATTTGGTGATATATAATCTCCAAAAACTTTCCTCTTTTTCTTTTTTTCGTACTGATCTATGTCTTGTTTCTTTCTATCTTTGTGTACAGCCAGGCTTATTGAAAAGATAGAGTTGCCTGTAAAGAGACGTCTAATCAGCATAAAAAGCTCACAAGCAAAACGCGCAAAAAGAAGCTTTAAATTTTTTTTCCAAACAAAAATTTTTCTTCTTGGGTCTTCTAAATGGAGTGTCTCTTCTGTCTTCAGTTTACAGCTCTCTACTGTTATATGACATAAGGGAAATAACAGGCCATGCGCCACCTTGTTATTCTAATCCTTGTGTCTAGTTTTTCTTCATAAAATTATTGATGAAGTATATAAGCTGGCATTAATTATTCTTCTGACTATTCTATTTTTACTTTAATTTAAATAGTAAAAAACAAAAAAAAAAAAAAAAAAAAACAAAGAACAAAATTAAAGCACTTCAAAGAATTCAAACCAAAAACATTGTGGACTTTCTAAAAATTTGAAAAAAAAAAAAAAAAACGCATTTTTTACCAAAGAAAAAAAAAAAAAATTTGTTTTTTAGAAAAGAAAAAAATCAAACATTTTAAGGCTGAATTGATAATTTTGGAAAAAAAAAATAGGAAAAAAAATTTAAACTTGTTTCTTTTATTTTTATTTTCATTTAAAGAATTTCAAAATTTTTTCCCAAACTGTGAAAAAAAAAAAAAAACATTCTTTTGAAAAAAAAAGACAAAAAAAGAAAAAAAAAAAATTTTGTCTGTTAAATAAAAAAAGGTTAAACAAAAAAGGGAAATTTCAATGAAAAAATTTAAAAAAAAAAACTTCTCAAAACAAAAAAGAGTATTTTTTATTTTTGTTGTTCTTTTAATTATTCAAAAAAAAAAAAAAAAAAAAAAAGCTTTTTTGAAACATTTTTTATTTTTTAACTTTTTTTTTAAATCTGAAAAAAAAAAAAAAGGAAAAAAAAAAGAAAAATGGAACTTTGTTTTAAAAAAAAATTTTTTTTTTTAAAAATTTAAAATATTGCTTATTGCCAAAGAAAGAGACGTTTCTTTTTTTCTAAAAAGACTATATCAAATCAGACTTCTTTGTCAGTCGCTTTGTCCCTCGATTACTCCTGAACTGGAAAAATGAACGGATATCTCATTTCTTAAAAAAAAAGAAAATTTGTGTATTAATTCACAAAATTTGATACGAGAAAAGCAATTTGTATTTATGTTGTACATTGCTATTAAAAAATTAAAAAAAAAAATAATTTCTTTACTGAGTTTGGAAAAAAATCTTTTTGGAAAAACTTGAGAAAATTTTTTTTTAAAATTTTATTTAAACTTTTAAAAGAATATTATTCAGAAAAAAAGGCAAGATTTAATTTTTTTTGGACTAGTGAAAAATGAAAAGAATTTAAAAATGGACAAAAAAACCGCAACACAGACTTCTTCAACTTCGGTTTCCTTCAAAGAGAGAGTGCTAGGTGAGAAGAAAACAATTACAGGCCGTCGAATGACCTTCATCTCTTTTTAGCGCTTTTTACCAAGACCTCCTTATTAAAGAGGTTATATACATTGTTTTATGGTAATACTTACAAAAATTTTTAAAATGATTTCTCTTTATGTCTAAAAAAAAACAAAAAAAAAAAAAAAAAAAAATGAAAAAGATAAGATGAAAATCTAGCAAATTGGAGACATATTTTGTAATATTTTAAAAAAAAAAATAACAAGATGAAGAACAACACAAAAGTTTTGTGTTTGTTATACTTTCTAAAAGAAAAGTTCTCTTCAATACACTTCGAGCATTCTAACTTTTAGTTCTGTCCCTGAGAGCGTCTCCTCGAGAGGCGTGGGGACTAGAAAAGTCCAGAGAGCACCATAATAAAGGCCTATTAATAATCTGTAAAATTGCTATATGATACATTATCAAGTGAACCACAAGTAGTCGTATAAATCATTCCAAAACTAATTTATACACACCTGTGTGCTTCTAAATAAACGAAAAAAACTTAACAGTCTAATTTTAATAAATAGACGAAATTTATCATATAGGTTTCCAAACAACGAACTATATCAAAAAACTGCAGAGAAATATCACAAGGGCTTATAGGAGATAATGAATAATGACAGAAGAAAACAAATTTTTTTGAAGACAGGGCCAAAAAAAAGAAGGTTGTATCGAAATTTTTATCGTTAAAAAAAATTTCCACACTTTTATAGAAAAAAATAAAAATCTCACAATATTCTACGAATATTCTACTTATGAAGCAAAAGGTTTCAAACAATTTTTTGATTTTATTTACTTAATTAGTGAGTCTAAAGTGCATTCGGACTGTATAATAGAGAGAACAAAAAAGGACTGCATATTCTTTCCTATCTAACAATACCAATTATAACTTCACATCTGATCAAAAAACAGTAATGGATAGCGCGAGGTAGTATCAGTACACCCTATTCGTAGTAAATGTCATTTTGATTTACGCTTTAAAAACGCCCAAAAGGAATTAAGTGGTTTATGAAGAAAAAAAATTCAATCTTATTCAAGTAATAACGTTTGTATTTGAAAAAAGACCATGAAGAGCGGGCAGAGGCTCAAAAACAAGCATAATGTGAGAGGACTTCTCTTATAAGAGGAAACTACTGAAAGGGAAGGAATCCAAAAAGAAAAGACTATAAAAAGATGTGAAAAAAGAAAAAGGCGTGGAGCTGTGTTATTTGTCTTCTCAACTTTAAGGTCAGAGGAGTATGTAAAAAACCAAGACCTGTATGGCGCAAATGTAAGTCTCGTAGTTACACACACACCTCTACTAATTCTCTCTCCAAATAGACTATTAATTATACATATGGCGTACCAACTAAAAAAGTTAAACTTATTTTTTAAAAAGGCTTAATTAAAAAAAAAAAGTGAGGGTTAAATAATATAAAAAAAATAGAGAGAAAATAGGTCTTCCTTGTTGTGCGCGGAGAAGCCATTAGTTTAGGATA